CTGATGCTGATGCTGATGCTTATGCTTATGCTTATGCTGATGCTGATGCTGATGCTGATGCTGATGCTGATGCTGATGCTGATGCTGATGATGCTGATGCTGATGCTGATGCTGATGCTGATGCTGATATGATGCTGATGCTGATGCTGATATGATGCTGATGCTGATGCTGATGCTTATGCTTATGCTGATGCTGATGCTGATGCTGATATGATGCTGATGCTGATGCTTATGCTGATGCTGATGCTGATGCTGATGCTGATGCTGATGCTGATGCTGATGCTGATGCTTATGCTTATGCTGATGCTGATGCTGATGCTGATGCTGATGCTGATGCTGATGCTGATGCTGATGCATGGGCGGAGGAGGAAATTCCACGTGACAACACACTCACGTTTTGAGACAGCATTCACAGCGCTGCACCAGGATTATGCCCCCTCACATAGCCTCTCACCGCCCCACATAGCCTCTCACCGCCTCACATAGCCTCTCACTGCCCCACACCGCTTCACTGCCTCACATTGCATCACAGTACCTGCCATCCCACGACTCACGAGCATATATTGCAGTGGTGAAACCAGTGCATGGTACAGCCATCTCAGGCTGTCCCTCAGCTGCTGGAAGAAACGCTGCATGCATCAAGTAAAGGGGGTGCGCGCATGGGGACGTATGGGGTTGCGGTATGGGAGGGAGGGAAGTAGGATGAGGAAACAGCACGGGTTGGGAGGGCGTGGGAGAGCAGCTAAGGTAGCGAGGCAGAGAAGGGGGCAAGGTGTGGTAAGGCATAATGCAGCAACAGGCACAGCACTGCCCTGACCTTGACTACGATGTGCACAGCCCTCACCTTCACTACGATGTGTGTGCGGTAGTGGCCTCGGTGGTACGGCATGAGCACCGGAGGGACAGACGCCAACTGCGGCGACACCAAGGGCTCCAATCTGCACGTGGCTCCAATGGTGTAGAGGAAGGCGGTTTCAAATGAATCACGTGAGCACACTGTACCAGACAACATGCTTGCAGGCCAGACCCAGCAGTTGTCACATGAAGGGCATAGTGCCATGCAATGTGTGCATGTGCGCTACCATCGGTAGGCAAACGGGCGGTGGCGAACTGACCGGTAGGCGACGGGGTCGTGGGGGTGGAAGATGTTGAGCACATGACGGCATGCTGGCAGCTCCTCCTGCACGCCCTCCATTCCCCAGTACCGCGCGCTGTCCCCGCCTGCTGCTCATGCATGCAGTGTTTGGTTGGGAGAAAACAGTGGCACATGCTTGACTGTGCCGTCTTCTTCTCTAACATGTCCGATCTAACACTAGCCTGAACCTTATGGTGAGTCAACCCCATCCCAACTCACCCCCCTGCAAACGTCCTACCCAACCCCACTCCCCCTTGTCTCCTCACCGCCATCGCCGAGGCGAATGTTGCGCAGAGCGAGGAAGAGGCCAAGGGGCGACCCCACTGCGAAGAACGTGTCCACCTGTTGATGTGGCGCGGGGAGGGGGAGGCAGGGAATGGGGGGTGGAGAGGCAAGGGGATGAGAGGGTTAGGCGAGCAAAGAGGATGAGGAGAGGGGCAAGAAGCAGGGAAGAGGGAGAGAAGAGCGGCTCACAGGGAACAGAAGGCGGCCGTAGCGTATAGACGGCGCATGCTGGCGCGGCGGCGCCTGCTGTGATGCTGCTGCTCTCTCACTGCCTCTGCCTTGTGCCCGGGATTCGCCCCTCCTCTCTGCCGCTCCTGATGTGTCCCTCCCTGTTCCCACCCCTGCAGCAGCCTCCGCGCCGTCTCGCTCTGCTCTCTCCCTCCCTCTCTCATCCAACCCCTCCTTTATCGGTGTCCCCCCTCCCTCCACATGCCCTTCTCTCGCACTTGAATTCCCAAGCGTCTCACTCGCACTCCACCCCAACCCCTCTCCAGCTGTCCCCTTATCCACCAGCATTCCCCAATCCCCCACCGCTCTTCCATCCTCTCCCAGTGACTCCGTCCCCATTCTTCCGTCCTCCTCTTCCCCACCTTCATGCGTCTCTTCCCCGCCTTCATGCGTCTCTTCCCCGCCTTCATGCGTCTCTTCCCCGCCTTCATGCGTCTCTTCCCAACCCAGCCGCGCCCCTCCACCACTCTCCACAGCACCAGCTGCACCACCCATCCCCTCTTTACTGCCCTCCACACTGCCCTCTGCACGGCCCTCTCCCTCCTTCCACTCCAACGTACAGCTAACCACCGCATCCCCATAAGTGGGTGCTTCCTCACGAGACAGCGCATCCCCATGCAGCCCCTCTCCCCCATGCTCTTGCCCTTCCCCACTGCCTTCCCCATGCCCCTCACCCGCCCATCGCCCACCGCCCTCCTCTATCGCTGGCACCACTGCTACTTGAGCGCATGTCACGCCACACTCACTACCCGCCTCGTCATGCCCACATTCCTTACTGCCCTCCCTGCTTCTCTCATCACACTCCCTGCGTCCCTCACAACCCTCACTGCATCCCTCATAGCCTCCCACTCCACCACCACTACTCGCCACCTCCACCACCCTCCCTGCCTCCACTCCTGCCTCTGCCTCACACCGTGCCTGCCCCACTGCTCCACCCATCCCTTCCCCACCCTCGTCCCTCGCCGCCTCATCCGCCCCTCGCCCCATGCGTGCTTCACATCCCAGAGCTTCCCCACTCGCCCCAGCCCCAGCCGCATCACGAGCATCAACTGCAGCAGAAGCAGCGAGCTTTTCCTTCCCCTCCAACCGCCTCCTCCTCCTCTGTCTGCTCGTCTCGCCCACCTCCCTGGCGCTCCTCTCCGTGCTCTTCCCTCTCGTTGACCCCTCCTCCACTGCACCCACTCCTCTTCTCGACACACCCCCTCCTCTCCCTACACAGCTCCCATCTCCCTCCTTTCCTCCACCACCCTTGCGTTTCCTGCCTCCTCGCCCCTCCCCTCCGCATGCCCCCACAACCACACCCTCCCCATCCTTCGCCGTCTCCCCTGCTCCTGCTACCTGTCTACCCCCTTCCGCCTCTGCCCGGCTGCCTATGCTACCCTCACCCCCGTCCCCCTTGAGTATGTCACCACAGCCCACCACGCATGCATTGCCTGCAGGGGCAGCACGAGGAGAGCTGGCAGTGGCATGAGAAGGAAGGCTCAACGTACTGGCAGGGCAGGGGAGCGGGGCGGCTGGCAGAGGGGGCGAGGACGCCTGCACAGGCGTTGTAGCGGGGCTGGTGGCGTGACTGGTGGGGGGGCGCGCAGGCGATGGTGCTGGTGGTGCTGATGGCGCTGGTGGTGTTGGGAGGAGGAGAGGAGGAGGGGCGGGTGGCAGAGCGAGGAGGGCGATGGGGGAAGCAGGGGGGTGCAGGGGCTGAGGGGCCAGGGACGGAGGAGAGGCGCGATGGCATGGGGGAGCAGTGTGGTGCAGGCATGGCGATGAAGATGCAGGGCGAGTAGCAGGCACGTGGGGGAAGGAGGAGGCGAGGTGGTGGAAGGCGGCCTGCCACGCTTCCACCTCCCTCTGCAGCTCGCCCAGCTGAGCGGGGCAAGAGGGGAAGGGGAGGAGGACAAGGATCATTAGGATGTGGGGAGCGAAGCGAAGGAGGAGAGGTGTTGGGTGCAAGCTGAGTTGCGGAAGACGCTAGACGCAGCGTCTAGACGCTAGACGCACTTTTAGACGCAAGACGCTTGGGCGGGCAGCCCGGAAAAAAAAAACGTGCGCGCGAAATTGAAATTCGCCATTTCGACGCGAAATTTAATTTCACGCCATTAGAACCTGATGGCGAACCTGATGGCGAACCTGATGGGGAACCTGATGGCGAACCTGATGGGGAACCTGATGGCGAACCTGATGGCGAACCTGATGGCGAACCTGATGGGGAACCTGATGGGGAACCTGATGGGGAACCTGATGGCGAACCTGATGCGGAACCCGATGGGGAACCGGATGGCGAACCTGATGGCGAACCGGATGGCGAACCTGATGGCGAACCTGATGGCGAACCTGATGGCGAACCTGATGGCGAACCTGATGGCGAACCTGATGGGGAACCTGATGGGGAACCTGATGGGGAACCTGATGGCGAACCTGATGGGGAACCTGATGGCGAACCTGATGGCGAACCTGATGGCGAACCTGATGGGGAACCTGATGGGGAACCTGATGGGGAACCTGATGGCGAACCTGATGGCGAACCTGATGGGGAACCTGATGGGGAACCTGATGGCGAACCTGATGGGGAACCTGATGGCGAACCTGATGGCGAACCTGATGGCGAACCTGATGGCGAACCTGATGGCGAACCTGATGGCGAACCTGATGGCGAACCTGATGGCGAACCTGATGGGGAACCTGATGGGGAACCTGATGGCGAACCTGATGGCGAACCTGATGGCGAACCTGATGGCGAACCTGATGGCGAACCTGATGGGGAACCTGATGGGGAACCTGATGGCGAACCTGATGGGGAACCTGATGGGGAACCTGATGGGGAACCTGATGGGGAACCTGATGGCGAACCTGATGGCGAACCTGATGGGGAACCTGATGGGGAACCTGATGGGGAACCTGATGGCGAACCTGATGGCGAACCTGATGGGGAACTTGATGGCAAACCTGATGGCGAACCTGATGGCGAACCTGATGGCGAACCTGATGGGGAACCTGATGGCGAACCTGATGGGGAACCTGATGGCGAACCTGATGGCGAACCTGATGGCGAACCTGATGGGGAACCTGATGGCGAACCTGATGGGGAACCTGATGGGGAACCTGATGGGGAACCTGATGGCGAACCTGATGCGGAACCCGATGGGGAACCCGATGGGGAACCTGATGGCGAACCGGATGGCGAACCTGATGGCGAACCTGATGGCGAACCTGATGGCGAACCTGATGGCGAACCTGATGGCGAACCTGATGGGGAACCTGATGGGGAACCTGATGGGGAACCTGATGGCGAACCTGATGGGGAACCTGATGGCGAACCTGATGGCGAACCTGATGGCGAACCTGATGGGGAACCTGATGGGGAACCTGATGGCGAACCTGATGGCGAACCTGATGGCGAACCTGATGGCGAACCTGATGGGGAACCTGATGGCGAACCTGATGGCGAACCTGATGGCGAACCTGATGGCGAACCTGATGGCGAACCTGATGGCGAACCTGATGGCGAACCTGATGGCGAACCTGATGGGGAACCTGATGGCGAACCTGATGGCGAACCTGATGGCGAACCTGATGGCGAACCTGATGGCGAACCTGATGGCGAACCTGATGGGGAACCTGATGGGGAACCTGATGGCGAACCTGATGGGGAACCTGATGGGGAACCTGATGGGGAACCTGATGGGGAACCTGACGGGGGACCTGATTTGGTGCCCGAACTTTTTTTTAGGCCTGCCCGGGTTTCCGTCAAATACTGCGTCCAATCTATACTATCTAGCGTCTAGCGTCTTAGACGCTGCGTCTAGACGGACGCGTCTAAGACGCTAGATGCGCCTTCCGCAACTAAGGGAGCAAGGGGATTAGAGGAGAGAGTGGGAGTTGAGGAAATGGTGGCACAACTCACACGCCGTGCAGCCCCCACCACACACTGCAGCCCCCACCACACACTGCAGCCCCCACCACACACTGCAGCCCCCACCACACACACACAGCGCGTCTCACCTTGCGCCTCAATTGCTCTGCTGTCTCTGTGTCCGCCTCCACTGCCCCACAGGCTTCTGATTGCCCATCACTCCCGCCCCTTCCCTGCATTCGAGCTCCATCTTCCCAGGCCCTTCCTTGCTCCGCCACTGCACCACCCTCCCCCTCCTCGTGTGCCCCCGCCTCGATCCCTTTTTCTCCTCCTGCACCGTGCATGGCCCTGCTTGTCACCGGCATGCACCCAGCCCCCAACGGCTGCAGTCATCATCGGTAGTGGGCGTGGGGCCTTGAGGCATGGCCGGGCTGGCAGTGGTGGTGGCAGGGAGAGGGGGTGTTGAGGCAGGTGTGTCCCCAGCCAGGGGCACAGGCGCGGCAGCACATGCTTCAGGTGGTGCTGCTGGCTCAGGCACAGCCACAGGTGCAGGTGCAACGTCAGATACAAACTCAGGTGCTGGTTCAGGCTCCGGTGCAGGTGACACAGCATCAGGTGCAGCAGGAAGGCGTTGTGGGGCAAGTGCAAGCAGATCCCCATCACGTGCAGGAACCATGGGTGGGTCAGCCACAGAGACAGCCACAGGCGATTCTGCACCCTCACTTTCACTCCACCCCTCCCCATCCCCCCATCCCCCATCGTCCCCTTCCTTCCCCACCCCGCTCTGCATCGCCCCCAGGCCTCTACCATCTGCCAGCAGCGGCGGCGGCAGCCGCGAGTGGGGCAGCAGGGGCGGCGAGGGCGGGAGGGGCGGGAGGGGCGGCTGGTGGCAGAGGATGTCGTGGAGCAGCACGGAGCCCAGCGAGTGCCCGAACACCGACACGCGCCCGCTGAACAGCGGATTGCGCCTCTTGAACTTGCGGTACAGCCGGTTCAGAGAGGAGGTCAGCTGGGGGGGTGGGGAAGGGGGGCACAGGGGAGGAGAGGAGGAGAGGGATGGAAGAAAGTGAACGAAAGAGAGTGAACGAATGATGGATGTTGAAACACAGCAAGTGGATGGCAGGCAGGCGATAGCAGGGGCTGGATTAGAGAGGCAGATGGAGTAGAGGCAGCAGAGGGAGCAGTGCCTGTAGGAACAGTAGCAAGCTTCAGAGCACCGGAGTGAATATGTGTGCAGTGCAGTGCGGTGCAATTCGGTGCATGCACGGACCGAGTGTATGATGGTTTGGCAGTAGGCGGGGCTCATGTAGTAGAGCACATCGTGCACCGTGGCGCTCACGGCGTCCCTCAGCGCCCTCACGCCCTCCAGCGTTATGCCCTCCACCACCGCCTCCGACGCCAGCGCCATGCCCCTCCTCCACTGGCGCCCAGGCACGCCAACACACACATGCACATGCGATGAGAGAGGGGAGTGAGGGGCAGGGAGGTGGACGATGAGGGGAACGTGATGTGAGGCTGAAAGCGGCAGAGAATGGGTACGCGCTGCATCTTGAAAAGAAACAAGTATGTGAGGAGCGATGGTGGATCAGTTGGTAGGGAGAGAGGGAGGCACCTGGCAGGGGATGAAGAGGCACCTGGCAGGGGATGAAGAGGCAGCGGTGCTGCAGGCGCTGGTGGGCGGTGAGGTGGGAGTGGCTGAGCTGAGCGGCGTGGTGGCGGAAGGCCGTGACGTCATCCACCAGGTGCGCTGACTCCAGTCGCTGCCCCACCCCGTGCACCATGAACACCACGTGCTGCACCGGCACCTGGTGGGAGGGGGGGGGGTGGGGAGGGAAAGAGGGAGAGAGGTGTGGGGAAGGTGGGAGTAACTTTGAGGTGTCTCAAAAGGCGCTGCCCCACCCCATGCACCATGAACACCACGTGCTGCACTGGCACCTGGTGGGGGGGGGGAGAGGGTGGGGGGAGTGAGACGTCTCACAGCGCTACATGGTGGTGAGGTGGAAAGGGGTTGTTTGTTTTGTGTGCACACATGTAAGCCAAGAGAACTGAGGCATGAGAGTGATGCAGCAGAGTGGTGGGTGGCCATGATGGATGGGGTGCGTGCGTTCATGGACATATGCATCATCCATTTCACCCACCATGGAGCAGTAGTCATCAAGCTCCTCCTCCTTCACCTGCTGCTCGTCCTCCTGCTGCCATGCAGTGAAAGACAGGGGAGAGAGCACGGGTCAAGGGGGTGTGGCAAGGCAGGGGCAAGATGGCACACAAACATGGATGGAAAGGAGGCGAAGTGCAAGTGCGCTGGAGGGTTGCCTGTGCCATCCGGAGCCAACCAACAACGCGCTACCTCTCCACTCCGCCTCGCACTGACCTGAGTGGAGGGCGGGGGCAGGAAGCCCCTGCGCTGACCTGAGTGGAGGGCGGGGGCAGGAAGCCCCTGCGCAGGGCCATGGCGTGCAGTGGCGAGGAGAAGAGCAGCGCCCCCTCCACCCACAGCTGCGCCCGCCAGCTGCTGTCGTCCCCCGTGAACAGTGCACTCACTCCCTGCGAGAATGTGAGGGAGTTGGGAAACGGGAAAGAACTAGGGGGTGAGAGTCTGAGAGAGGGTGTGGGGAGAGGGTGACAGGCGTTCACGAGTGAGGTGCAGTGGCTACGATGAGAGGTAGTGCCAGCCTACACGCACATGCACTCCTCTACCGCCCACACAAACACGGATATCAGCCTTCCTCCCGTCCCGTCCACTCCCCAATGCTCACCCCCTGTGCAGCGGTCAGCGCTCACCTCGCCGGCGCCAGCGATGGGCACTCTAGCTGCGAACAGCCCTGACGACTGGAACCACCGCCGCCGCCACACCTGGCGCACAGGGAGACACGCAGATGGGAGGGGTTGAAAGCGGTGGTGAGAGGTACCAAGAAGTGGGGAGAAGAGAGAGGTGGTGGCCATAGGAACGAGAAGCAAATGCATGGGTGGCCAAGGGACCAACATTTCCCCACACTCCCCTCACTCCCCTCTCTCCCCACTCCTCCCTCACCCGCCTCCTGTACGCCTCCTCCAGCTGTTCTGCCACGTCCTCCCTCAGCGGCTGCCACGTCAGCTGCGCCTCCCGCTTGCCGAACCACAGCCCACGCAGCACACGGCGGTCCTCCCCCTCCCAGTACACCGCATACGACCGCCTCCGACCCAGATCCACCTGGGGTAAGAGGCGAGGGGGAGGTGGGGTGGGAGGGAGGTTGGAGGGATGGTGGATACGTATGGAGAGCAGGACCCTTCCTTGCGAAGGAACTCAACTGATGTGAGTGCCCGTGGAACAGCACAGTGGGCACATGCAGTGGGCAGTGCACACACAGTGAGGGCAGGCAGGCAGGGAGCGCACCTCATAGAGCCCCCCCTTCACCGCCACCCCCATCGGCTCCTCCTCGCCCTCCTCACTCTCCCCCTCACTCTCCTCCCCGTCCCCCTCCCCATCCCCCTCCTCCCCCTTTTGCCGCCCTGCATCGCCTGCCTTGCCACTGTCCCATGCTCCCTGCTCGCCATCCCCCCCTCCTCTCCCTCTCTCGCCCTTCCACTGCGCATCCTCCACCTCTCTCCCGTCCCCCTCCTCCACCTCCTCCTCCACCTCCTGCACGTCCGCCCACAGCCCCTCGCCCTTCTCCATCTCCCCCTCGCGCCTCCTCGCCTCCTGCCTCCTCCACTCCCTCATCCTCTCCCTTGCCATTTCGCGTTCCCTCTCCTTCTCCCTCTCCCTCTCCTGCTCCCTCTCCCTCTCCTGCCGCTCTTCTTCCCTCTCCCTCTCCCGCCCTCGCCCCCACCCCCCTCGTCGCCGTCTCTTGCTTCTGAGGGGGGCGGCGATCTGCCAGGGGCGGATGCGATCGGACGACAGCAGAGGGGCCACGCGGTCGGCCAATGGCGGCACGCCACCTGGCGCGGGTCCCACAGCAGCGTCGGCATACTCCTTCCACCACAGCGTGAGCAGCTCCTCCTCGCGCTGACGTGGCGTGGCGTGCAGGGGTGGGGTGGGGTGGGATGGGGGCAGAGAGTTGTGAGGTGCGGTGCAGCATGGAAACCCGGGGCAAAGGATGAAAAGGGCCCTGATGCAAGCGCTTCAATGAAGAGCGCATGCAACGCAGTCACCTGGCGGAAGGCGGTTTCGAGGGCGTGTGAGTCGCGCGCACTGAAGCGCAGAAAGTCCGCCGAGGACGCCACTATGGCATGCGGCACCGCTGCTGCCACCGCTGCTCCCATGGGCGCATGCCCACAGACACACACACACACGTGGACAAACACAGAGTAAGAGAGAGCAGGGGGGACAGGGAAGAAAGAAAATTATGTCAAGCATGAGCGCACAGCATGCATTAAGCACAGCCCCATATGGTCTCACATGCCCACTCCACCCATCCCACTGCGATCCTCCTTTTCCCCTTGCGCCCACTCCCTTGTGCTGCGCCTACCGCCCTCCCCCCACCACCCTTCTCCCCCAGTCCGCGCGCTCACCGCCCTTGGTGAAGTGCCCCTTGCTGAAGTACCAGCGCACCTCCCCCCCATCCGACGGGCTGCGCGTGCCCCCCGCCGCGCTGCCCCCCGCGCACCCAGGAGCAGCCCGCGCAGGTGTGCGCGGAGGAGAAGGAGGAGAGGGAGCGGAGCGAGGGGAGGGACTGCAGCGAGGGAATGGCAAGCAGGTGCAGCGCGGAGGACGCGGGGGAGGAGAGCGCGGAGCGCGGGAGCGACGAGGAGACGGAGGAGGAGGCGCGGGAGAGCTGGGGAAGGTTACTGGGGGAGGCGGGTGGCGCGCATGGTGGGGCGCGGAGTGGCGCGCGGAGAGCGGGGGGGAGAAAGTGCGGGCTGCGCCGGCAGCGGCAGCGGACGCGTGGGAGGGGCGGAGGGGGGAATTCGCGGGTGCGAGGGGCAGAGAGGGCTGGCGGGGTGGAGCGCCAGCAGCTGTGGCGTCATGCGACCCATGACACCATGCGATGCCATGCGACACAATTAGCACACCATGCGATTTTAATCGATTGCCACGTGGTTTTGGGAATGGCGGCGTGCGAAATTCCCCCAAGCGCAGTTGCATCTCCAGGGGCGCGCGGATGGGCTCATGGATGCGCCGATTCAAGCGGCGAGTGGCAGGCGGGGGAGGCGACGCGAGATGGCTGCGCGCCGCCAAGAGAACAGCGTGGGCGCGAGCGCGATTGGTGGCCGGGGTTCTATCAGCAGGAAGGATAGGAGAGGCACGGAAGTGATCTGTGATCGTGTGTGCTATGATGGTGGTATCATGTGCGAGCACCGTACACCTGAACAGACGGACATGGAATGGCATGGGTGGTGGTGGTGCAGCACGGGAGGGGAGACCAGGGGACACGCTGAAGTGGCCCTTCACGAATGGCCAGCTATGGATGCACACGTCAGCCTCGGGCAAATCGACGTGGGCCCAACGGTTTCGTGACGAAGCCGCTTTTGAACCGGCATCGGTACCGTATTCGAATATAATCATACAAGGTACATAATTCCCATACTGTTGGTTTTGCACATTATCTGTTCCTTCCAAAAAAGGTGGTGATTTTTCTATTGCCTGGTTGGGCTTTAAGCGGCTTCTTCCCCCGTTGGTTCGAATTTGCGGAGCCCGGCTTCCCAGCGCTGAGGGGTGTGGAGGAGACCTGAAAGGCGACATGCGAGGCAGGAGACAGACGGGAGGGACACAATAGCACAACGTGGTCAGGAAGGATATTAAAATAGTAATGAGACATGAGCGCACAGCAAGGTGCGACCGACATTGTGCATGCAGAAAGGAAGCGCGCAAAAGAGAGTGCATGCAAGAGAGGGTGCAGGAGAGCGGTTGAGGCGAACGGCACCTTGGGTTGAGTGGCAGTAGTGGCAGGTGGGCTGGCCAGGCGTTGCCCCCCTTGGTGGCTCTGCTTCACCTCGGCCTCACTGTCGCACACACGGCACACAGCAGCCAGCGGCACATGCAGAGTGGAGGGCGCGTATGGAGGGGGTGGGAGGGGGGGTTGGAAGAGGAGATAGGGACAGAGGGCGGCATGCAGAGGTGTGAGAGGAGTGAGAGGGGTATGGCAGCAGAAGGGAAGCGTGTGAAGAGCGCATGTGAGGAGCGTGGGCGACAGTGACCTGATGGAGAGGTGGCGGCAGAGGGCAGTGTGGAAGGAGGCGGGCAGATACTCTGCCAGCAGCCCCACCGCGTATGCCTCTGTGTGTGCGAGGGGGAGGAGAAGGTGAGGGGGGACGTGTGGGGTGCGGCGAGGGGAGAAGCAGCAGCAAAATGCACAGCAGCCGGCTTGAATTGTGAGAGAGAACTTGTGGAGAAGAGGCACGTAAGCACGCAGAACAAAAGACAGCACAACTTCCAGGCAGGCAGGCAGGCGGGCAGGCAGGCAGGCAGGCAGGCACCCACCCAGGTCGGTGTCTGGCAGACCTCTCACCGGCGCCTCCCCATGCTGCCTCAGCACTGCCTTGAGCGCCGCCACCTGGTGCAGTGAGGGCGCGAGTGGTGCAGGTGGGAGGGGTGGGGGTCGAAGACGAGCAGATTGGCGAGGAGGGAGCAGCGGCGTTGATGGGAGGGAATGGAGGGAATGGCAAGCAGATGGGGCAGTCGAATGGAGTAATCCCGCACGCACCTTGCATGTGAGCCATGCCAGCACCCACTCACCTTGCATGTGAGCCATGCCAGCACCCGTCTGTCATTCAACCTGTAGAACCGTGTGCTGCCCACCTCTGCCACACCGCACAGCACCACAACGGGTAGCACAGACACACATAAAAGAACAGTTGGTATGAGAACGCAAGAGGCAGGGGTGGAAGTCAAGGTGGACGATATGGGAGAGGTGGGACGTGAGGGGTACAAGTGGGCGGGGGGCAGGGCACCTCTGATGTCGGTGATGAGAGGGAGAACGGGATCCCACACTCCCTGCGACTGCAGCCAGCCGTACGATGGGAATCCATCAACAGTGCAGATTTCATCCAGCGATCTGAACATTCCCTCACTGCTTGATCCCTCCTTCTGCAACATGCATGTGGCATGGGGCATGTGGCAGTGGCAGAGAAGCAAGAGGTGGGGGGAAGGGAGAGGAGGGAGGAGAGCAACAGGACAATGGAGGTGAAGCACTGGGGTGAGCAACACACGGCAGGTGCAAGGGTCACATTCTCCCTCCCACGCATCGAGGCCCAGTGCAAGGTGCAGGGTGCCGCACCATAGATGCAATGAGAGGGTGGTGCCATGTGGGTGTGCGTGGCTCCCATGCATGAGTGGCTGAGGTGGGTGAGAGGGTGGGGTGGGTGCGTGGGAGTACCTTCATCCTGCTCTTATCGAGGATGGGCAGGAGCAGGAAGGCAGCATCGATAGGCGTCGCCATGAATAGACTGCCATCTGCCACCACATGCCACGCCATGCCATGCAGACACAAAGGAGAACACCTCACATGCAGACACAAAGGAGAACACGTCTCATGCAGACACAAAGGAGAACACGTCACATGCAGCCACCATGCTCCACCCATGGGATGCATGCAAGCAGTGAAGCAGCAGAGAGGGATCCATGAGGCTCTGACACTCTCTGCCCTCACACCATCACTCCCATCACTGTCTCTATGCTCCGATCTAGCCCCCATGCCCCATGTCCCCATGCCCCCGCGCCCCCGCGCCCCCAGCACCTTGCAGCACGGAGTCGCCTAGAAGCCACGAGGAGAGCGCGTCTTTGAACCACGCCACCTCCAACACCGCGCCGCCCCGCTGCATGTAGCACGCCGCCGCCCCTGCTCGCACGCACGCACACACACGCATGGGGCAGGGTGGCATGGGGCAGGGTGGCATGGGGCAGGGTGGCATGGGGCAGAGTGGAATGGGGCAGGCGCACATGGGGCAGAGGCGCAGGGGGCAGGGGGGGATGGGGCAGGGCGCACGTGCGCACACGAGCGCGATGGTGCATGTTAGCACATGTCGCATGGCGAGACTACCTACTACCACATTCCACCTCGCGCTTCAACTCGCACTCCCCTGCACACGCGCCCCTACTCCCCACGCGCCATCGCGCCCCCGACAGTGACGCGCCTGTTTTCGGGTGCGCCAGATGCAGCACGTGCTGCCGCGCGCCCCCCGCGCGCTCCCCCATGCCAGCCCCGGCGGGGGAGCCGCCGTCGCCCACAATCAGCACCCGCCTCTCCGCCGCGTCCGCCATGCGCCGCCGCGATCGCGCCAATCGCTGCGATCTCTGCGATCTCTGCGATCTCTGCGATCTATGCGATCTATGCGATCTCTGCGATCAGCGCGCAGCGAATGCGACGGCGTGAGATTAGGGAGTTGCTAGGGCAGGTGAGCGATGAGAGAGGCGGCGAGACGAGGGTTGGGAATGAAGGAGGGTAATCGATTAGCGGGAGAGAATGGTGGTGGGCGGGGCGGAGTGATGACAGATTGATCCAACGCCAAACTCGCAACTTGCGACTGCAAGCTCTCATTTTGCATCCTCCGCGACACTCGGATCAATACTCCTCTCCTCTTCCACACCTCGACAGCATCATTTCGTCGCCGCCCATGCGCCTCCTCTCCCGCGCGTCGTCATGTCCTCCACGCTAGCGCCGCCGCCGGCGCCGCAGTGCTACGCGCGACTCGCGTCTCGTCGCCGCCCCCCACCCCCCACCAGTAGATCGCGGCTCGCTGCCCCTTCGCAACCGCGCGCATCTCCCGTCTCCTCCTCCGCCGCGCCTTCCGTCGCTCGTTCCGCCACCGCGCATACCCATGGTTCCCGTCGCTCCGCACTCACACCCGCTCCCGCCTCCACGGCGCGCCCATCGGCGCGGCGCGCGTTGACCTCCCCCGCGGCGGTCCTCGACGTCCCTTCGCAGCGCGCCTCGCCGGCAGCGTGCCGTGCCGCTGCCGCCAGTGCTGCGGATGGCGCTGACGTGGCAGGGCGGCTGAGCGCGGAGGAGCGCGAGGCTGTGGGCAGTGCTGACGTGGCGATCATAACGAACGGGCCGGGCGAGGTGGCGGCGTGGGTGGCGCCCGTCGTGGCGTCGCTGGCGCGCCTTTTCGGCCCCGACCCCCGCCGCCTCCGCATCTCCGTGCGCGCTGCTCTCCCCCCCCTCCTTCGCGCCATGCGAGTGCCACGCTCGAGCCGCGGCATCGTTCGTCGCCTCGTCTTGGCTCCCATAAATACGCTCATCCTTATTGCCACCCGCTCCCCGCTCCCCGCTCCCCGCTCCCCGCTCCCCGCTCCCCGCTCCCCGCTCCCCGCTCCCCGCTCCCCGCGCGCCCTGCCATTTCCCCCAACTTCCCCGTCTGAGCCTCGCCCTCCGCCCCTCCGCTACCCCCTCCCCCCGTCTCCCCAGGTGCTGCTGGCGCCGTGTCCGCACGCGTCGGGCAACGAGCTGGCGGTGCTGCGCGCCATGCCGCACGTGCACCGCTGCACGGTGCGTGCCGCGCCGCGCACAGGGGGGAAGGGATGGCGGTGGGTGCAGGTGGGGGGATCCAGTGCATGCAGGGAGGGGGGCCGGGGTACAGGGCGCTGTGGGATTGGGGGCGGGGGAATGGCAGGAGGGGATGGGGGGACGGACGTGCGATGTTGCATCTGCCGGGGTTGTGTGCGCGCGTGCGCCCACAGTGCTCGTGACAGCTCTCCGCCAAGGCTCTGCGCCCTCGCCCCTGCTGCTCCTCCCGCACGTTGCACATCCTCTGCGCCTCCCGCCCCTTTGCCATGCCCCATGCCGCATGTTCACTGCATTCTGCTGCCACTGCTCGCCACGCCACCCCCACCCCCACCCACCCCCTCCCCACACGCCCCTCTCTCCCCACGCAGGGTCCCCAAGATTTCTTCCACATGCTGCTCTTCAGTCGCCCTGCTGCTACCACTGGGGGGCAGCACACGGGCTGGGAGAGAGGGGAGGGGGAAGCCTCTGGGGGAAGAACAAAAGACCAGCAACAGCAACAAGAGGAGGGGGAGAAGAATGGGGAGGGGGAGGGGGAGGGGGAGGGGGAGCGGGAGTGGGGGTGGCGGGGGCGGGGCGTGGTGGTGTTTCTGGGCGGCGAGCAGCTGAACGCGGTGCTGCTGGCTCGGCGCCTGCGGTACCGCTGCCTCGTGTACTCCGAGGATGCTGCCCGCTGGCCCTGGTGGGTTGCACGGCTGGGTGGGGGAGCGGTTGGGGGGGGGCTGGAGTGTGTAGAGCAGGGGGGGGAAAGATAGCAAAGGTGGTTGGGGCCATTGGGTGGTTTGGTGGGGTGGTGTTTTTTAATTGAATCTTAACCACCTTGCCCCTTTCCTCTTCCCTCCCCTGCTCCCCTCCCCCTCCCCACCCCAGGCTGGTGGACATGAGTGCGCTGCGCTCGCCCGTGCTGCTGCCCGCCATCCCGCCCGCCCTGCTGGCCGCCCGCCGCGCCCGCGTGGTGGGAGACCTCTTCCTCTCCGCCGTCGCGCAGGGGGTGCAAGGGGGGCAGGGGGCGAGGGGCGCACAGGGGGGAAGGGGGGACGAGGGGCGGAGAGGGGAGGAGGATGAGCAGGGGAGCAGAGGAGAGGGGGAGGGCGAGGAGCGTGAGGTGGTGGTGGGGCTGCTGCCGGGAAGCAAGGTGAGGGACCACTGGGGTCTTTCACAGTTGGATTACTCGTGAGCTCGTGTGTGAATGCCCATGCATGCATGCACTCGCGTGTATATGTCATACATACTCATGCCAGTGTGTGTGTGTCATGCGCCCTGTGCCATGCCATGCCATGCACATGCACCCCTGTGCCACATGCTGTGTGGTGGCAGGACGTGAAGCTGATGATCGGAGTGCCCTTCTTCCTCTCCGTCGCCCATGCACTCAACACCTGCTCTCACGGGTGAGTGAGCAGGCGGGCAGGCAGGAGGGCAGGCAGGTGACCACCACTCGCAGCCATCACCTGTCGCTGCCCCATCCACCACCTCCCGGTTCTCTCCTCACAACCATCCACTCCTCGTCCCTCTTCCCCCCTTTCCCCAGCAGTCCCCGCATACGGTTCATCCTGCCTTTGGCCCCCACGGTGCAGCCGGCGTCGCTAGCACGCTTTGCCTCGCGGCGCCACAACACGCTCATCGGCCGCCACGCCTGGCTGCCCGCGCGCCTGCTGCCCCCCGCCCCCCCGGGCGCAGGGGGGGATGCACGGCCCTCTCCGCCAGGGGGGGGAGAGGGGGTCGGGTGGGAGTATTTAGGGAAACTGGTTGCCGGGGAGGAGGAGGGGGAGGGGGGAGACGGGGGAGGGGTTGAAGGGGAGGAGGGGAGGGAGGGAGGGGAGGGGGCGAGGGGGGGTGAGGGAGTGGAGGTGGAGGTGTGGAGAGCGTTTCCCTCGTATGCTCTGCTCTCGCAGTGCTCCCTCGCCCTCACCACTGTGAGCCTGCCCCATGTGCTACTTTGGCATTGCCCCATGTGCTACTTTGGCGTTGCCCCATGTGCTACTTTGGCATTGCCCCATGTGCTACTTTGGCATTGCCCCATGTGCTACTTTGGCATTGCCCCATGTGCTACTTTGGCATTGCCCCATGTGCTACTTTGGCATTGCCCCATGTGCTACTTTGGCATTGCCTAACACCCGCCTCATGCCATACCAAGGCATACCAAGGCTGCTGTGCTCGCCACATTTACTTTCTTCTGTCATCCTTTGCTTTGCGATTGGCCCGCAATCTATGTGATTGTGACATGTGGCATGGGTGACGTGGCATGGCAGGTGGGCACCAACACTGCTGAGCTGGCAGCACTGGGAGTGCCCATGGTGGTCGTCCTGCCCACTCTCTCACTGGAGGTGCGTCTGTGATTCACATGCACGAGCTTTACTAGCGGGTGATGCCCACTCCATATGACTTGCCTGTCAACGCACTGCATTGTCCCTCCTATGCATCTCCCTCCACGCTCTACCTTCCGTGCCTTTTTGCTGTGGCCCTTCCTTGCATCACCACTACCACTCCATATCACACCTTTCCACCCTCTCCTCCTCCATCCTCTTTCCACGTCAGCTGTTTCAAGGGGGGGCAGGGGGTGTGTTGGGGTTGCTGCCAGCACTGCTGCCAGCGGGGCCAGCAGCAGCGCTCACTCGCTTCCTCAACGCCTCGCTGCTCCGCTCGCTGCCCTTCCTCGCCTGGCCCAACCGGTACCCCCTCACCTCCTCGCCCCTCACCTCCTCGCCTCTCACCTCTTATCTCTCTGCCTTGCTGCTGCTTATGTCCTCGCCTGCTTCGTTCCTCCACCCCTCACCTTGCCACCCCCATTGCCAACCCTCACAACACTTCCCTCCATCACTCCTTTCACTGTCTTCCCCCACACCCACCCGAGGTCACTTCCACCACCATCCCTCCCCCCCGTGCATGCTCCCCCTGAGCGGCTGTGCAGGTGGGCGGGGCGGGAGGTGGTGCCGGAGGTGGTGGGGGAGGTGGGGCCGGGGGAGGTGGCAGCGGTGGCAGCACGCCTGCTGGGGGACGCGCCTGCACTGGACGCCATGGGGAGCGCGCTCAGGCACGTGGCAAGCGAGTATGGGGGGGGCAAGGAAAGTGCTGCTGGGGAAGGCGAGGAGGAAGGTGGGGGGAGTGATGGAGGGGAGCGTGGTGAGGGTGCAGCGGATGCAATCGCAGGTGAGGTGCTGAAGCTGCTTCTCATGTAGCATACAGTAGTAGCATACAGTAGTAGCATACAGTAGTAGCATACGGTAGTAGCGTAGTAGCATAGCAGCATAGGAGTCTGAGATGCATGACTGCTTTACCCTGCTTGCTGCTCAGCAGGCAGCACGCTCATTTTTAAAGGCGTTTTTTAATGATCGCATTGCAATGAATTATGCGGAATTCAAGCATAAGTGGAGCTGGAGGTTTGCACGTGCATGTGTGAGGCCACACGGTTGTGGTATGATCCAATATTTCCTGAATGGCTATAAACATAAGACAAGAGGATAAGCATTGAACATAAGTTATGTTCAAATAGATATCACGGTTTTACACGCGGAGATCTCGAGTGGTCATCTCTGAACGAGCGCACGTGGCACCTTCTAACCATCCATTGCTGACATCAGCAGTCAGACAACCACAAACAGGCATTCACCAATCAGCGCATACGCCCCTCGTGTTCACCTCTGCATCCACGTTACCAAGCACGCACCTTTCGCATTCGACTGCCTTGCTCACCGTCCCGCACGCTGCCCCGCCGCACTCGCCGTGCGCCGCACTGGTGATTAGTAACATTGCCAGACGCCATGGCGGCCCTCACCGTCGCCTCCTCTCTCCCCGCGCGCCTAGCTCCGCGCGCCGTCGCGCGCACCTCCGCTCCCGCGTCCTCCCGCGCCGACACTGGCGCATGCTGTCCTCCTATCCGCGCATCCAGCCTCCGCGTGCCCCGCACTCCTCAGACCATCACTCGGCAAACGCGGACTCCGCGATTGGTCGTTGCGGCTGCGGGCGACAGGGTGAGCTGTCTTTGGCGACATGTTGTGTCGCACATCGTCGCCAGCATGTGTGCTCGAAATATTAAATGCGTAGATTTGCGACAGCAGCAGCGATGCTCGCGCGCCCACCTCCCCTCGTCCCTCGCGCCTTCCGCTCGTCCTGGTCGGTCTCGTCGCTCTCCCAGCGCTCCCAATTCTTCCTCTCGTCCCGCGTCGCCATCTCTCGCTCGCCCCGCCATCCACCGAGTCTCCTCTCCGCGCGCGCAACAAACATGCGCACTCCCCCCCCTCCCCCCCCCCTCGTGCTTCCCTGCCCTGCTCCCCCCTGTGCGCGCGCTCGCTGTGCGCGGGAGGGCAGGCGGCGGTGGACTGGGCGGCGGTGCGCACGACGGACCATCTGACGGTGGGCGACTGCATGTCGGCCGGCAAGCTCGTGTGCGCGCAGCCCTCCACCACCGTCGATCAAGGTCCGTGCAGCACCGTCGATCAAGGTCCGCCAACGTATGCAATATTGCACCAAGCGCAATGGAAACTCGGTGCTTGCTCTAAGTCGGCCCGACCTCTCGCCCTTGTTCTCCACCCCCTTCCGCCCCTCCCCCTTTCCCAGCCGTCTCCCCCTTCTCGCTCTTCCACCTCCTTTCTCCCCCTCCCCCCTTCTTTCCCCCGCCTCCCCCCGCCCCACCCCTCCCCCCCTTGTGCGCGCAGCGCTGGAGCTGCTGGTGGAGCACCGCATCACAGGCATGCCCGTGGTGGACGCGCACGGGCGCCTGGTGAGGGGGGAAGGGGGGGGGGAGAGGGGTGGGGGGTGAGAGGATGGGTGGTGGGGGAGGGGAGATGGATGTTGTGTTGTGATGCACACTTGTGTTCGCACGTTCACGCACACCGCGCTCACATTTCCCCAGATTCGCACAATCCCCATCCGCTCCTCCTCACACCAGCACCGTCTCTCCCTCCATGCACGCGTGTGTGCGTGTGCGTGCATGTGTGTGCATGGCATGGCATGGCATGGCATGGCATGGCACGGCATGGCATGGCATGGCATGGCACGGCACGGCATGGCAGGTGGGAGTGGTGTCGGACTATGACCTGCTGGCCCTCGACTCCATCTCCGGTGCGCCCCTGTCCCTGCCCCTCCTCTGCTCTGCTCTTCCCCCATCTTCTCTGCTCTTCCCACCCCCCTTCTGCTCTCCCCGCCTCTCCTCTCCTCTGCCTGCCACACCCTGTCGCCCCTCCTCTTCCCTGCCCGCCCCCCCCTGTTCCCTCTCCTTCCTCCCCTCACCTCTCTCACTGCGCTCTCACATCTCACACTCTCTTCGTTTTCCTCTCTCACCTTTTCCCCTCTCCACGCCTCTCACCCACAGCCCCTGCTATCCCAGCAACTACAGTGCTAATCGTACCCCCCATGCCCATGGCACCTGCCATCTCTCTGTGCCCGCCTGTCCCCATGCACATGGCATGGCATGCAGGCGTGGGGTCATCCGGGCCGTCCTCCTCGCTCTTCCCCGAGGCTGGCAGCACGTGGAAGGTGCACCTCCCCCATCCCTTCACACCACCACCCACACCCTTCCCCTCCCCCGGGCCCTTCTCTCGCCCACTCACCCATGTGTTTCTGCCCACCACCCCTTTTCTGCTACTGCTGTGTCTCCTCCATTCTCCCCGCACCTTGCACTGCGCCCTCCCTTCACCACACACGTCCCCCAGACGTACCATAACATCTCCCCTTCCCTCCCTCTCCCCACCTTCCCATGTTCATCCCCCGTCCCCCTTGTCCCATCCCCCACCTCCCCACGGCCACGGGCGCGCTGACGTGGCACGGCAGGCGTTCAGGGAGATTCAGAAGCTGCTGATAAAGACGCGGGGGCGGGTGGTGGCGGATGTCATGACGCCCCACCCGCACACCGTGCACCCCTCCACCAACCTCGACCAGGCCGCCAGGTCACACGCGCCCCCCCACCGCCCCACCACACTACCCTCCTGCACTGCATCTTTGTCTGGCTGCACCCATGCCTCCCTGCAACCATGCCTCTCTGCCCCCACGCCTCCCTGCACCCATGCCTGCTTTCCGAAAGTCAAGGCTTCCAGGTCACACCCGTTTTCTTGCCTCCTGTCCCTACCCCTGTACCTCCTCCTGTTCTTTTCCTCCCATGAATAGTTTCCGTTTCCCCCTTCCACACCCCACCAACCCCAATCCCCGCTTCATCCAGTGTTCCCCTTCTCTGCCTGCTCTCTCTCTTGCTTGCCTTCCATTCTCTCTCTCTCTCTCTCCCCAACCCTTTCGCTTGCTGCTGGCAGGATGCTGTTGGAGAATCAGCACCGCCGCCTGCCTGTGGTGGACGACAACGGCAAACTGGTACGTGCACCGCAGGAATGAAGAGGAACGAACGCACACCTCCGTCCAACATGCCAGCACACACTATGCACCTTGCGCTTCAGCCTGCAAGGACATGTACAACTTATGAGATTACTTGACAACACTGCACACTTGGTTTAGCACTGCAGACTGATTCTGTGCGTGTGTGCTGCTGTGGTGTGGTGCAGGTGGGGCTCATCACTCGCGGCAATGTGGTGAAGGCAGCCCTGGCTCTCAAACGAGCTGCCGAGAGGGACCAGGCGAAACGTGCTGCTCAGTAACTAGATACTTGTAATACAACATATAATCTGTACGGTAGTACCAATTGACTGTATTGGGTAATGTGCAAGTTTGCGGTCCTACAGCGAAGTTTGTTATAGCGTGTAGTTTGCCAAGCTAGCCAACTCAACTCAACCTCGACGATCACACTCATGCAGAGCAGAGTGTTCTTCTTCACGCACAGACCAAGAAGCGCTGCGTAGTCATCTACCACAACATACATTATGAATATCGCTACGTTTATTTATTCCCAACGTGAACGCTTGATATCTTCGGTCAGTACCAAGCCCTCAGATTCGTTTTTTGGCTGTCTGATTCGCACAAAAAAGTTCGGCGCTTGTGATGATGGCAGTGTCTGCCGACAAATGCTCAGGATCCCTATAGGCGTAGGGAAAAGCATCGAACGACCTGAAAGGTAAATGTTGTTGCGTATTCGGATGGCCCATGCTTACCGGTAAATACATCCACCAAAGACCCACCTGAGCAATTTCGGCTTGGTTCACGCGCACAGAAAAAGTTCGGCGCCTGCGATGATGGCCGCGCCTGCTGACAGATGCTAAGGAAGCGCATGGATCCCTACAGGCGTAGGGAAAAGCATCGAACAACCTGAATGTTGTTGCATATTCGGGTGGCCCATGCTCAAATACACCCACCTGAGCAATTTCGGCTTGGTTCGCGCGCAGAAAAAAGTTCGGCACCTGCGATGACGGCCACGCCTGCCGACAAACGCTAAAGAAGCGAATGGATCCCTACAGGCATAGGGAAAAGCGTCGAACGACCTGAATTTTGTTACATATTTGGGTGGCCTGTGCTCAGATACACCCACCCGAGCAATTCCGGCTTGGTTCGCGCGCACGGAAAAGTTCGGCGCCTGCGATAACGGTCGCGCCTGCCGACAAACGCTAAGGAAGCGCATGCATCCTTACCGACGTAGGGAAAAGCGTTGAACGATCTGAATGTTGTTGCATATTCGGGTGGCCCATGCTCAAATACACCCAACAGAGCAATTCCGGCTAGGTTTGCGCACACCAAAAAGTTCGGCGCCTGCGATGACGGCCGCGCGTGCCGACAAACGCTAAGGAAGCGCATGGATCCCTACAGGCAAAGGGAAAAGCGCCAAACGACCTGAAAGTTGTTGCATATTCGGGTGGCCCATGCTCAAATACACACACCCGAGCAATTCCGGCTTGGTTCCCACGCAACGAAAAGTTCGGCGCCTGCGATGACGGCCGCGCGTGCCGACATATGCTAAAGAAGCGCATGAATCCATACAGGCATAGGGCAAAGCGTCAAACGACCTGAAAGTTGTTGCATATCCAGGTGGCCCATGCTTAAATACACCCACCTCAGCAATTCTGGCTTGGTTCGCGCGCACAGAAAAGTTCGGTTCCTGCGATGACGGCCGCGCCTGCCGACAAACGCTAAGGAAGCGCATGGATCCCTACAGGCGTAGGAAAAAGCGTCGAACGACCTAAATGCTTTTCACATTCGGGTGGCCCATACTCAAGTACACCCACAGGACAATTCTGGCTTGGATCGAGCGCAAGGAAAAGTTCGGCGCCTGCGATGACGGCCGCGTCTGCCGACAAACGCTGAGGAAGCACATGGATCCGAATGGGCATAGGGAAAAGCGTCGAACGACTTGAATTTTGTTGTATATATGTGTTGCCCATGCACAAATACACCCACCTGAGCAATTCCGGCATAGTTCGCGCGTACCGAAAAAATTCGGCGCCAAGCGAGTGCAAAATTGCAAGAACAAGGGCCTAGCGAGCGCAAAACTGCAAGAACAACGGCCTAGCATGTGCAAAATTGCAAGAACAAGGGCCTAGAGTGTGCAAAATTGCAGGAACAAGGGCCTAGCGTGCGCAAAATTGCAAGAACAAGGGCCTAGCGTGTGCAAAATTGCAAGAACAAGTGTCTAGCGAGTGCAAAATTGCAAGAACAAGGGCCTAGCATTTGCAAAATTGCAAGAACAAGGGCCTAGCGAGTGCAAAATTGCAAGAACAAGTGTCTAGCGGGTGAAAAATTTCAAGAACAAGTATCTAGCGAGTGCAAAATTTCAAGAACAAGAGCCTAGCGAGTGCAAGATTGCAAGAAGGGCCTAGCGTATTCATAATAGTAAGAACAAGGGCCTAGCGTGTGCAAAATTTCAAGAACAAGGGCCTAGCGTGTGCAAACTTGCAAAAACAAGGGCCTAGCGTGTGCAAAATTGCAAGAACAAGGGCCTAGCGAGTGCAAAATTGCAAGAACAAGTGTCTAGCGAGTACAAAATTGTAAGAACAAGTGTCTAACGGGTGCAAAAGTTCCAGAACAAGGGCCTAGCGAGTGCAAAATTGCAAGAACAAGGGCCTAGCGAGTGCAAAATTGCAAGAACAAGGGCCTAGCGTGTGCAAAATTGCAAGAACAAGGGCCTAGCGTGTGCAAAATTGCAAGAACAAGGGCCTAGCGTGTGCAAAATTGCAAGAACAAGGGCATAGCGTGTATAAAATGGCAAGAACAAGGGCCTTAGCGTGCGCAAAATTGCAAGAACAAGGGCCTAGCGTGTGCAAAATTGCAAGAACAAGGGCTTGGAGTGTGCAAAATTGCAAGAACAAGGGCCTAGCGTGTGCAAAATTAGAAGAACAAGGGCATAGAGAGTGCAAAAATTCAAGAACAAGGGCCTAGCCTCTGCAAAAATTCAAGAACAAGGGCCTAGCGTCTACAAAATTGCAAGAACAAGGGCTACCGTGCGCAAAATTGAAAGAACAAGGGCCTAGCGTGTGCAAAATAGCAAGAACAAGGGCCTAGCGTGTGCAAAATTGCAAGAACAAGGGCCTAGCGTGTGCAAAATTGCAAGAACAAGGGCCTAGAGTGTGCAAAATACCAAGAACAAGGGCCTAGCGTCTGCAAAATTGCAAGAACAAGGGCCTAGCATCTGCAAAATTGCAAGAACAAGGGCCTAGCGTCTGCAAAATTGCAAGAACAAGGGCCTAGCGTGTGCAAAATTGCAAGAACAAGGGCCTTGAGTTTGCAAAATTGCAAGAACAAAGGGCCTAGTGTCTGCAAAATTGCAAGAACAAGGGCCTAGCGTGTGCAAAATTGCAAGAACAAGGGCCTAGCGTCTGCAAAATTTCAAGAACAAGGGCCTAGCGTCTGCAAAATTGCAAGAACAAGGGCCTAGCGAGTGCAAAAATTCAAGAACAAGGGCCAAGCGTCTGCAAAATTGCAAGAACAAGGGCCTAGCGTCTGCAAAATTGCAAGAACAAGGGCCTAGCGAGTGCAAAAATTCAAGAACAAGGGCCTGGCGTCTGCAAAAATTCAAGAACAAGGGCTTAGCGTGTGCAAAATGGCAAGAACAAGGGCCTAGCGTGTGCAAAATAGCAAGAACAAGGGCCTAGCGTCTGCAAAATTGCAAGAACAAGGGCCAAGCGTCTGCAAAATTGCAAGAACAAGGGCATAGCGTCTGCAAAATTGCAAGAACAAGGGCCTAGCGAGTGCAAAAATTCAAGAACAAGGACCTAGCGTGTGCAAAATTGCAAGAACAAGGGCTTAGCGTGTGCAAAATTGCAAGAACAAGGGCCTAGCGAGTGCAAAATTGCAAGAACAAGGGCCTAGCGTGTGCAAAATTGCAAGAACAAGGGCCTAGCGTCTGTAAAATTGCAAGAAAAAGGGCCTAGCGTGTGCAAAATTGCAAGAACAAGGGCATAGCGTGTGCAAAATTGCAAGAACAAGGGCCTAACGTCTGCAAAATTGCAAGAACAAGGGCCTAGTGTGTGCAAAATTGCAAGAACAAGGGCATAGCGTGTGCAAAATTGCAAGAACAAGGGCCTAGCATGTGCAAAATTGCAAGAACAAGGGCCTAGCGAGTGCAAAATTGCAAGAACAAGGGCCTAGCGTGTGCAAAATAGCAAGAACAAGGGCCTAGCGTCTACAAAATTGCAAGAACAAGGGCCTAGCGCGTGTAAAATTGCAAGAACAAGGGCCTAGCGTCTGCAAAATTGCAAGAACAAGGGCCTAGCGTGTGCAAAATTGCAAGAACAAGGGCCTAGCGTGTGCAAAATTGCAAGAACAAGGGCCTAGCGTGTGCAAAATTGCAAGAAAAAGGGCCTAGCGTCTGCAAAATTGCAAGAACAAGGGCCTAGCGTGTGCAAAATTGCAAGAACAAGGGCATAGCGTGTGCAAAAATTCAAGAACAAGGGCCTAGCCTCTGCAAAAATTCAAGAACAAGGGCCTAGCGTCTACAAAATTGCAAGAACAAGGGCCTACCGTGCGCAAAATTGAAAGAACAAGGGTCTAGCGTGTGCAAAATAGCAAGAACAAGGGCCTAGCGTGTGCAAAATTGCAAGAACAAGGGCTTAGCGTGTGCAAAATTGCAAGAACAAGGGCCTAGAGTGTGCAAAATACCAAGAACAAGGGCCTAGCGTCTGCAAAATTGCAAGAACAAGGGCCTAGCGTGTGCAAAATTGCAAGAACAAGGGCCTAGAGTCTGCAAAATTGCAAGAACAAGGGCCTAGTGTCTGCAAAATTGCAAGAACAAGGGCCTAGCGTGTGCAAAATTGCAAGAACAAGGGCCTAGCATCTGCAAAATTTCAAGAACAAGGGCCTAGCATCTGCAAAATTGCAAGAACAAGGGCCTAGCGAGTGCAAAAATTCAAGAACAAGGGCCTAGCGTATGCAAAATTGCAAGAACAAGGGCCTAGCGTCTGCAAAATTGCAAGAACAAGGGCCTAGCGAGTGCA